TGGGGGGGGGGCGGCCAGACCGGGGGGGGCATGGCCGGACCGGGGGGGCCTGGAGCTGGAGGAGGGGCGTGGCCGGACCGGGGGTTGTCTGGACGGGGGTGTCCAGACCGGGGGGGCTGGAGCCGGGGCGGAGTGTGTGTGTCCGGGCGGTGCCTGGAGACCGGGGAAGGGGCGGGGCGGGGTGTGGTGGGGAGCCCGGGCCCGCTGCGCCTTCCGCGGGTTCCCAGCCGTTCCGACGTGGGGTGAGCGCGGTGGCGGTGGAGGGGCCTCACGGGCAGCTTGCGCCGTGCAGGGACTGGCTGCCTCCCCCGCGGGGGTCAGTCTGGGGCGCCGTTTGCTGACTAGCGCCCCGGCCGCGCTGGGTGCCCCTGTGCCCGCTCCAAGCCCTGCATCGCAGAACAGCGACTCCACCCCAGGTGGGGGGTATCTCGCATAGCTCTGTGATGCCTTAAATACCTGCCCCCCGGATCCCTGCCGTGTCTCCCCAACATGCACCCCACCGTGCTTGGAGGCTGCTGCTGTGTTAGGAGCTTAGCATTGTCTGACAGTGGTGGTGGTTCTGTAGTAGGGGCTTGTGTTAATGTTTATGTGGGGAGTTATCAGTCTTAAGCCATAGCTATCCTAATTCTGAGAGCAACACCCACAGTGTAAGGAGCTGAAGTAATGCTGAGTGTAATAGTGCTGCAAAACAGGGCTTTGGAGCGGAGCCCGGAGCTGGAGCGTGGACCAGTAGGTTTGCCCGGAGCCGGAGCGGAGCAATTCAAAAATTTGATTGCTCCAAATCCCTGCTGCCAAATCCTGGCTTCCTTAGGTTAAGAGCAGGAAGGCTCTTTGTTTCTGTTTATAGAAATGTGCCTTTGAACTGCACAGTACATACCACACATTGCCTTTCCGAAAAGGTTATGCCACGTCTGTGTCTTACCCGTCTATAATCTTATTCTGTGTTACCACTCCAGATGAACCTAGGAGTGTGAAAGATATGAGGAGCAAAGGTATAGAGCTTACATTTCAACACTAAGATAAATGGAGCCAAACTCATTCATCCTTGATATAATGGCTCCATTAAGTCACAAGTGCATGTGGCCTGTTGACTTAAATAGAACTTCATTCATTACTTTTATTTTCTCCCTCAGCCTTTTCTACACTAAGATGAATATTTGTTGCAGTTTGCAGGTTTCAGCAATGGGTGCAGGTGCTGAATTTGTACTCAGCAGTAATTGAGCTCCATCCATTGCAGACCCCCTTTGTCGGCCACTGACTCCATTATTCTTGTGTGGACACGGCTTTTGTGTTTAAGGCATTGGATTTATTTAATTAGCATTCAAACACTCTTGTTATCACAATAGTATTATGCTACTGACATGGTACAAAAGGCCAAGTAAACTTAGGTTAATGATTAGTTTGCTGTGTTTTCATCTATAAATGAGAATGAAATACAAAAAGGCTACCTGCTGTAAAGCTGATAGGCAATTTGAGTCTATCAGATTACTTAAAACCAAGCATTGATCTACAGGTCACATCTCTGTGACTTTAGGTATTTTTAAATTGTATAGGTGCATTGACTGTAACATTTGAACATTACTAAATGGCATCCTCTAGCCTCTTCCTTTCAATTGTGGGCTCCTTTTATACGCTTCTTTCAGATTGAAAGCAGTAGATGAAAGCTTGATGACAGGATGCAGTTAATTTAAACACTTTGGACTGGTAACAGCTGGATTTTCTCCATCTATTCACCCACTGGTCTGTCCAGCTGCCAGGCACGTGGCTTCACTGAAACGACCTGGTCCCTTAACAATAATTTAACCTTTTTGGCATGTTGGTTAATTTTCCCCCCCAGGTTCCTGACTATACCAGTTGAGCTAAAGGGGCGTTCTGTTGTGTCATTTTTGAGTAATGTAAACTTAATCTTTGACTTTCAATGATGAATTTAGCATAGTAAATGCTAAACAAAGAATAAATGCCAGAGCTCTAGAGCTGTAATTCTAGTGGCTTTCCTGCCGGTTTCGCTGATTCTCCTTTACCCCAACAGGAGAGCCTAGATATGTATTCTCTCCCATTGTTGACCCTGTTAATTAACATTCGCTCTTAATGACAGGACAGAATACTCTATAGCTTCTAACAAATCCAAGTTCTACTCATTGAATGTTGCAGCTTGGGAGTGATTCCTGCCTGTGTTTCAGACTTGGCTGTGTGTGAACTTGTTCAGAATGTGGTGTGATCAGCGTGTCTCACTTAACTCTGATGTTGTCTCTTTTCCCTTCCTTTCTGCCTGCCTGCTGCTTTCATTCTGTAGTATTGGTATTTGCCATTCATTTCACCTTCTGCATCTATGCATCTCATGGTAGGTGATAGGCTACTTAATTTGAGACTAGACTTTCCATGATATTTCTAACAGCTGCAAAAAAATAAAACCAAAAGTCTTAACTATTAAAAATAACACGTCTCCTTGAGTAATTACATTTATTTCAGATAATGTGAAAAACTAACTTTGGTGTAGATACTTTGCTTTTGTTTTTCAGACACTTAGGAGAGAATGAATTGGTAATCGCTGTTCTGATTAATGGCTACTGAGAAAACACTAACCATGTTTTAATCACTTCAGGCTCAGGAAATATAGTGGGAGCAGCTGTGAGAGAGCGTCTGTTCTTTTATTCATCTTCTGTATGAATCTGGCACTTGTGGAAGAAAAATGATCTTGATTAGAATTGGGCATAGTGCAGATGCATTGCATAGGGTCTACCAGTATACTTCAGTGCTGACCTGAAACAGTCCCAGCTGTTCCAGTCCTGGTCTTCGTGAGCAGATATAGCCTTTTGTGCTAAATTATGTGCTGTGGACAAATCACCTTTGGGGGCTGGGATGTAACTATCAGACTGACCAAAAAAAAAAAAAAAAATCAGTTTATGAATGCGAGGTGTGTTATGTTCTAATGAAGAGAACTGCATGTGGAATCTGAGAAATACAGTGCAAACGACACAGGTAAAATATGGATTAGTGGTTGAGGGCTTTCATGGGATATGTACACTATCACCTCTTTAAGTCACTAGTCCAAATCTAGCTCACATTGCTAGTAGTTGTAAATGGTTGCAATGATAGAGATTATTTGGTGGGCTGTATGAAACGACTTGGAGGTTTCACTCCAGTTCTTAATGGTGTGTGCCGATTATGATCTAGAGACACTAACTGGCAGTCCACCAGAGAGGCTAAGGATTGAATGACAATGGAGACTGAACAGCCTTATAGATGGCTCCTTCAGTTCAGGGCTGGACACATTAGTGGGGAGTGCAGTGTGTACTGGGTGCGTGTAGGGGAATGTGCTTTGCCTCTGCCCATGTGGTTCATATGCTGGAGATGGAAGATTTCTGTCTCTGGGGCAGCCAGTTTGTCACCTTTGAGCAGCACCCCAAAGAATTTAAAATATACTAAAGTTTACTGTGAGGTTAAAGTTTCCTTAAAATATGAAATCTGGGACCTCTGCAGAGTTGGTTTAGTAATTGATTCCTTTGAATTGGAAGCTTTCTGGCCCCCTCTCCAGGCCAACTAAAGTAAGGGTGGGAACAAAACCCAAAAATGCCCAGGGATTTTTCTGCCCAGCTGATGATAAATTCCTTTTGAATCTGTTTAGAGCTCGGAGCTCTTCACTCTGACCTATGGAGCTTTGGTCACTCAGCTGTGTAAGGACTATGAGAACGACGAAGATGTCAATAAACAGCTTGACAAAATGTAAGTTAACGTTGGAGTTTGAATCCTTTGGGGGAGTTGTTTGTAGTAGGCAGAACTGCTTAAACTGCTGTTCCTTATTTTCTGCACCCAACCCAACCGGCAGACTGAACATTGTTCACTTGTGGGTTTTTCAGAATTTAAACAAAATATTTTCCCCTCCTTTGGTATCTCCTCACATACTTAGTTTCAGAGCACAGCTTTATTGCATAGATTTAGAACATTTTCCTTGAGCTGTGCTGTTATGATTCTATAGTTTGCTGCTGTTTGGTGCATTGACAGGGGCTACAACATTGGAGTTCGATTAATAGAAGATTTTCTGGCCCGGTCCAATGTAGGAAGATGCCATGACTTCCGGGAAACTGCAGATGTAATTGCAAAGGTAATCCTCCAAGTATAACCTTGCATGCCTTTATCAGTGCTGGTCCCATGCATGTCCCAGCACCATATCCAGGCTGTTCATGGACTGTTAAGAAGAACCATGCAGTGGGTCACCAGGGGCACAGCTTCTGATTAAGAGTGAGATAATGAATGGTGCACAAATTGTATTCTCATAGACTTTAAGGTCAGAAGGGACCATTATGATCTTCTAGTCTGACCTCCTGCACAACGCAGGCCACAGAATCTCACCCACACACTCCTGTAACAAACCTCTGAGCTATTGAAGTCCTCAACTTCTGGTTTAAAGACTTCAAGGTGCAGAGAATCCTCTAACAAGTGACGTCTTTAAACCCCAAGTTGAGGACTTCTAAAATGTATCTTGTGGCTTCTTGCTTCCTGAGCTTAACTAGAGACTTTGAAGTCATTTTGTATCCAAACTAGAGTTTCCTGAATATGGGGAGAAAATAACCCAAGGACATGGAAACTGCTCCAAACTAGGCAAAATCTGATTCAAATAGTGTTCTTGGATTTTTCCCATTGGGGAGGGAAGATTGCTCCCCTCAATTTCCCCACCTGTGAGAAGAGGATAAAATTACTTACAGGGCTGGTGGGTAGCTTTGGGTTGGATTTTCCAAAGCACCTAAGGAAGTTAGGTCCCTGACTCCTCTTAACTTTCAATGGGAGCCAAGGGTCGGATTTCCTTAGTAAATATTTTGAAGCTCATTAAGATTCTTCGATGAACAGCGTTGACGGGAAATATTACTGTTTGGGTCATTGCTTGTCTCTGCTCCATAAAACTCAATAGGTGGCATTTAAAATGTATCTGGGCATCACCCCGAGCATCACCAACTGGAGCCCAGCAGGCGATGAGTTCTCCCTCATCTTGGAAAATAACCCTCTGGTGGACTTTGTGGAGCTGCCTGATAACCACTCATCTCTTATTTACTCCAACCTCTTGTGTGGGGTGCTGCGAGGAGCCCTGGAAATGGTGAGGCTTCACTTCTCTCCCAGGAAGGGTGGGGGAGTTGTGGAGGTCTTGGCTGGAAATGAAAACCTGGAACCTTCTGCAGACATTTCAACCCACCTCCTTGTGCAAGTTTGTGGTCTTCATGTTTTCTCTTGCTGTGAATCTATGTCAAGAGCAAAGTAGAACTGGAGAAGCCAGTTGGTTGGTATTGTCCTAAGGGAAGGGTCTGTGCTGCATAAAGTTTATAACTCTGCCTCGATGAATAGAGGGAGTGTGTAGATGCCCTGGGGATATGGGTTAGCTGGACTCTGTCTTCTAGAAGCAATGCAGAGTTCTGAAGGGAATCCCAACCGCTGCTCTTGTTGGGAGGTTTGTCTGTCTAGGGAATGATATGGCCCCATCCCCATAGTATCTGAATGGCTTGTCCCCCTATGCCATAGGCAGTGATCTTTGATACAGTAATCAGTGCCCTTTCTAGGACCCCATATGACGTGTCCTGTCCTATGTCCTACGCTATCTTAAGGGGCGGACAGATAACAGGGAGGCTGTTAGTTTAACTTCATAGCAACTTTCCTTTTGGTTTTTCTTCTCCTCTGTCCCCCAGGTTCAGATGGCCGTGGACGTGAAATTTGTCCAGGATACGTTGAAAGGAGATGGCGTCACAGAAATACGGATGAAGTTTGTTAGGCGGATTGAAGACAATCTCCCGGCTGGAGAGGAGTGAGCCACAGCGCAATCTCCCCAAGGGACTGGAGGGACCAGCTGCTGTGGCCTATAGCTCGTCATGGACTCGTAGGGATTTAGTGCCCCCTTTAAATTCCAACTCCTAAAGACTCACTGACTGTTTACGTTGTTACATTTCCATTTTCCATATAAGACAACTCTCTGGGTTACTCTACTTATCCCACAGGTTCACTCTAAAGATTTTCATAGGGTGGATAACTTTTTCATACGACCCACAGAGACTCTTTCTACACTCAGTTTTTAGCTGGATATTCAGCTGTGGGCAAAGTTTGTTCCTTAAACGCTAAAAGATCTCCAGGCGGTTCAAGTATGGGACTGAGTTTCATAACCAAAAGAGAACCCACCACGGGAGCTGCTTTCTTCTTGAGACACATGCATTGCTCCCACTGATGCTTGTGAAGGCTATGCTAGGCTTGCAGATGGAGGGGGTGACGCATGTGACTGACTGGCTAACACATGTATGTAGCAGCAAAGAATGAAGCCTATAAAGTGAAAGGAATGGAAGCGCCTAATGGAGCACACAGTAGGTCCTACTCTCTCCAGTTGTCTCTTCTTACTGAGGACACAGTGTCTGTAGTTAAAACTCTGCAATAGGCTCATGGAGTGAAAAAGTGATGGCAGAGCACTTCAGACAAGCCCTTTTTATCCAAAATAAAGTTTGGGGGCTTTTCAGTGCAAATGATCTGCTTCCATTTGGGGTAATGGTGTTCTTGGGTGAGAGGGGTTTGGTGGCAAAGCGAACTTCTGGTTTGTCAGGGACTGTATTTGAGGGTCAGCAGCATCAGGCTCTTAGTTCATTTAGCAGAACAGAATTTCAGTTGCCATATTAGAACACCGAGGCTCTCACTTTTGCACTAATCCTATGAACATTTCCAGTCTCTGCTGAAAAAAATAGCCCTGGTTAGCTTGCTATGAATATTTGGTCTGAAACATTTGTTATTAAATATTGTTCTCCAAAATATACACTGAGATACGCACTGATCTCAGTTTCTTACTCAAGGCAAACTACTCATAACTAATTCTGAGTTTAATAGTTAAATACACATAAAATTAAAACCTCATTATCTTAAGGATTAGACAGGGAAGGCTGCCTTAGAGTGTAGTATCCTAACAGGAGGCTGGGCGCCTTCCTTCAGAGGAAAATGGTATAAAGATGAAGAGCATAACCAGCATCTCAGGAGATTCAAATTACCTGCTTCCTTCTTTTTGGAGGCAAGAATTTTCAGTTTTTCTCCCACAACAATGCTGCTAGGAGCCGATCCCGTGGAACAGTCTTGTCTGGGTATATTGTGCTATGGTGGTGGTCTGACTCTGTTATGTGATAAGGTTCTTAGGGGGACAAGTAAATTGCATTATAATGCCCTGATTATTTTTAATAGAAAAAATAAATGACAGTGGCTGAAATGCATTCAGCATTTCATAGTGTACACAGCCTGGATTTTATTTCCACTGTCTGACAAAATCTAGATATCAAATCTAAACAGTACAACGTACTAAATGCATTTCAGCCAATGTAATTCCACTTTTCTGCTATGATGTAGAAATACTCTGCAGTGTGAAATGGGACTTTGGTACTTTCTGTTGTGCATAGTTAGATTAAAACAGAGGTTTCCACATTATTTTAATTGGTAAGGTACAGCAATTTATATCCTCTGCTCTTGTTTAGAATAACTAAATGAATTGAAGTAGTGGTACTGGGTCTAAGATAAACCAAGAGGCTGGAAAATTCACCCCCTTTGACACTTTATTCAAATGGAAAATTCAATTGAACATTGCAAAGTGCTTGGAGGATGAAAAGCATTTAAGTGCAACGTTGTGAGAGACAAATTTTAACAGGCATTTTCAAAATGAACCCCTCTGGGACATGAGTTGTGACTACCTTAATGTCAGCCTTAGCCAGGAAGTTGTGGACTGGACTGTGCAGACAAATGTCCCCTTTTATCTGTAGTGGGGGGATGTCTCCAAGTTGAAGATGAGCACACACTGAAAGATGGTGTGAGTGAAGCTTGAGCTGCTGCCACCTCTGCTGTATCTGTGCTAGGGATAGACACTGCAAATCTGTCGCCTTTCACTAGCCTGAAATGCCCTTTAGTCCACTTCTGTAAAATCCTTTGCTGGGTACGTCTGTGACCGTGAAAAGCTCCCCCATCTGAGTCAGAATTTACCTTGGAGTTCAGTGCAATTACAACTCTGAGCAAATCCTGCCTCTTTCACTTGATTCCTGAGGGCAAAGGTAGGTATGGTTATGAAGTGAACTACAGTCACCAAGTTCATTTCACCCAGTCAGTGAGTGGGGTGCAGAAGGGTTTGAAACGGAACTGTCTAGATTGTGAATGTTCTTATTATGTATTGGTCCATCTACTGTCTTATTTATATCCCTCTGTGGGATGCCAGTTCCAGTTTTGAACGTTGAGCTGTCTGGAATGTCACCCATTGTGGAATTCCTGCCTCACCCGAATGAATTCCGATAGCTACAGGAATTGAATGCCCAAAATAGTATCTTGCAATTCTCCCTTAAGGGGGCAGTAAGAGTCTATATTTAAAGAGTTGCATTGACAGAGCTGATGGCTCTGTGTGTGTGTTGGGTGTACAATTGCAGTGTGGTGTTTCAAAGATGTGTAAGGATTACTCATTTGTTTCCCTTTATTGGTCCTTGTAAACCATTTTAAGGCTGCATTTTAAAAGCCATTACATTAAAAAACATCCCAATGATGACTTTTCAGTGGTCTCCTGATCCTTTCAGTAAAGTCTGGGAAGGGGCTGAGATGAGCGTGGATGTGGCATGCTTTCTTGGGGTGACAAGGTGATAGGTGCTGTGGAAGGAATGTGTTCGGCCACGTGCGTGTGTGGTGGGAAGGAATTTCAACAGTGGTAATTGAGAAACAGCCGTGATTGGTTATCTTAAAGGAAGTGTGTGTAATTCTTGCCCAGAAGGATGGTAGCTTGGAGAAGCTTTTGTGTGTGGATCCCAGACTCCTTGCTGGGTCGCATTAGGGCATGGCACAAACTCTGTTTTTGCTCATTCAAGAACTGGCATTCTGGCAAGGTCATCCTCTCCAGTATGCATTCCGTGTGCCAGTGCTGGGTGAACATACTCTGCAAAACAGTTACTAACTTTACAAGTGGCTCCTTTGTACTAGAAATTTACACTAGGAAAACGCCTTGGCCATACTGCAAGGAGAGAATCTAGCCCTTACCCCACTCCCCCGGCTGCCTCTTTCTGTTCGGTCTCTAAAGAAATGACAGGCTTGGTGGCTGTAGACGCACCATGACTCTTTGCTGTACTAAACAGCTTAATCTTAAGTCCTGGTTCCATCTTTTTGATGCTTATCTAAGCACAGTGCTTTGCTCCCTCTTCTGCCTACAACCTGCTCCTACACTTATGGCCCAAATAGAATGTGCTGAACTATAAATGAAGGTAACTTTACCTGGCAATGATGCAGAAAACTTTCTCCCACGCTAAATAACACACTGTGAGCAATGGCAAAATAAGGCTGAGGTGGGTGAATGGATGCCCGTAGCCACAGGTCCTAAAAGGCAGCAGAAGGCAGGTTGTGATGCACTTTCTAGCTCAAAGATACTAATCTTAAAGCTGCAGGAATGGTGATGTAGCTGACTGAATAATTTACAGTGGATAATGTTCCTACCAGAGGTACTAGGCTTAAAACTGATGGAAGACGCTTCCGTTTGTGATGGTGTGGCCTGTATTTCTTTTCCCAATGAGGTCCTATAAATGTGAGAGATTTGCAAGGGATTAAACCAAAGCAGATTTAGTGGTTAGTAGAGGAAAAATGCTGTCAGTTTAAACAGGAATAGATACCCAGTGACTGAGGGACCCAAATTCTGCTTTTGAGCAGTTTGTCTAATTCACTAAGTATATATCACTCTGTTTAAAACAACTTAAAACCCATCTCAGCATGGAAACCTTTTACTCTCCGCTGAGTCTTCAGCCTGTAGGAAATCTCGTCTGCAATACTTCGGTGGGTAGGATTTGTGCCAAGCGTTCTTTGCTGGAAAAGTTTAGTGCCAAACTGTAAGAAGGTGGCCCTGAGAACTATGGCACACACCTGCCAGCAGGTGTCTCCAGCCATCAAATGTAGCAGCACCGAGGCAGTTTCAGAATGCATTCTATTGGCTGTGGAGCCATGTCGAAAAAGTATACAGTTACACGGGTGACACAAGCTGTAAGTTTTCGGTGGGAAGAATGGACTCTGGTTGAGGGTGCAGAAATCTCTAATTCACCATAACTGCAGCAGCTGCAAAGAAAAGAGCTTTAGAGACTAAAATCTCAACTTAAACTTCCCTTGCGCTTCTTTCTGTCACTGCTGCCTAGGAACTTGTGTGACAGCAGGGGGCTCTCTGCAGTGCGGACCCTGTGTACAGCTCTGCCTATGAGCCTCAATCTTCACCTTCTCCCACATGCTGTTAGTCCTGACCTGAGCTCCCATACAGCTCTGCCAAGGCATAGGAGGAGATACTTTAAAGCTGTTTGTTGTTAGTAGTAGGTAGCAACCCTGATGCAATATCACTATCCACGCACAGTCACTGCACTAAAGAGCTAATGGAAAGTATATCTCTAACCTTTAAAACTCTCTTAAATCATTATTAAAATTGTATTATGCCTAATGTGGTTATAAATGTCTGAATACTGGGTCTTCAATATAGCCGGCATAGTTTAAATAGTACAACAGTAGCTAATTTCATAATACAATAGTTAAATATTTGTAAAATATTTTAGCATAGCATCTTGTGCCCCACCCAATTCAATTCTCATGCCTCTCAGTGCGGCAACCCCAGCTCTTCCACTCCCCAAAGCACCTCTGCCCTTGCTTTTTGCTCTCCAGCTATTCCACTTGTGAGCCAAATTTTGATGCCATGATGCCACTTGGGGCTATACTAAAATCTCTTTTACCCATTAGAGCTGGGACTCGAACGTGCCTCCCAAGAGTCAGACTTCCTTTTCCAGCTTGCTCCCTGCAAAAAACCAACAGACCTCCCCCCGCCCACACACACATTTGAAAAGAATAATATCCGGATTTGATCTCCATTACAGCACTTTGTTTTAAGATTACAAAGCCCAGTGTGCAAGCTTGCATGGCCTGTTTCTATTGTAGTCATAACACTTGTTACAACACTGGAGCTCTCCTTTGCTTTCACATGGCGATGGGATTGAGTCCAAGTCAAACATTACCAAATGCCAATTTTCAAGTCTGTTTCCCCCGTAGATTAGAAAAACTGAGAGTGAGCCCCTTAGCCTTTCAAAGGGAGGCCGTGTCAGCCTCCTGCTGAATTCACTCGGGAGGGGGGGAAGTAGCAGAGAGCTGCTAGAACCAGGAAAAGGGAAATGTGCCCCTGGTTAGTTTGCTGAGGTGTTGAAAGGGGAACAAAGCAATTTCTCACCTCCTGCCAGAGCTGGGCACAGAGAAGGGTTTTCAGAGCTGGATCCTGTTTTAGCTAGACCCTTTGGGGCGGAAGTGGTGAAGGTGTTGGATAAATGCCCTCGGCTTTGCTTATTTTGCCATGAAGCTCACCTCGGTCCCATAGCAAGATTAATTTGGTTACTCAAAGGCTGCAGGAAAAAAAAACCTACCTGGGCCCCAATTTTGTGGACATGGCTTATTTGCTGAGAGTGGATTTTGAAGCAGGCTCAAACTCGGCCTTACCTATGGACCAAATGCTGCAACTCCATCATATAGGGATGTTGAGAGTTCTGATGGGCCACAGCTGAACTGGGCAAAGTGTGAGGTGAAATTGGCTCTATGAGAGGATTTACAGGTGTAAAGCATGGGTTCATATACAATTAGAGAGAGCAGAAATTGCCAATGATTTATCCTCGAGTGGAACCAGCCTGTCACGAGCTTGAATTATTGAGGGCTTGTCTACATGGGGAGAGGGACCAGACTAGCTATTCCAGAGTAGCTCACTTTGTGGGCACTCTATTCTGGAATAAAAGTCCCTGTATTCTGGAGTAATTCGTGTTCTCACAAAGCCCACTAATTATTTCAGAGTGTCCACAAGGGCAGCTATTCTGGAATAGCTATTTTGGTCCATTTCCCCATGTAGCTAAGCCTGGACACTCTCTGTAGAGCTCAGCAGAATACCAGTTCTGAATAGTTTCTGTTCCTAGTAGTGTGACCAGACAGCAAGTGTGAAAAATCGGGATGGGGTGGGGGGTAATAGGAGCCTATATAAGAAAAAGACCCAAAAATCGGAACTGCCCCTATAAAATTGGGACATCTGGTCACCCTAGTTCCTAGTAATAAGCCAATTGCAGTCCCTGTCCCAGGGAGGCCATCAGTTACTTTTTTCTGGGGGGGAAATTCTTCCCTAGATGTGAATTCTGCTGGCTGTTCTATCCCCATTGGTTGTTTACATTTAAGTATAAAACTCAATGTGTCCCTAACGATGAAGCTGGGCCCGATGCCTCCATGTGGACAGTATTGCCTGGGAGCTGAGCTCTGTTGTGCCAGGCACTTCAGACAAGACCAGACAGTCCCTGTCCCAAAGTGCGAGCTCAGGCAGGACAGAACTGACAAATGTGGAGAGGATCCATTGAGAGAATGAGAGAGCAAAATGAATAAAGTTGTGCAAGAATCACAGCTCACCACTTGTCTGAGCAATTCCAGCAGGACGCAATTTGTAGGCATCACAGCAGGGGTAGGATTTGTTGCTGATGCTGTGCAACTGCTGCAGGAGAGAGTCTGAGCTCTCTTTCTTCTTTTTTTTTAAGTGCTAAGACAGCTTCATCTTTGCTTTGTGGCCATTTCACCCAAACAGTGTGAAATGCACCTGTCGAGAGCTCGTCCTCTCTGTTGTACTCGGTGGTAGATCTGAGTGTGCTTTTGCTGCTCAGAACTCTTGTTGAATACCTCGACCAGCAGAGGGCATTGACAGCACATCGGTGCAGCTGCTGTAGCTAGCGCAACTAGCATCTCTGAATTTTAGCTTCATTCTGTTGCACGGTTGCAGATCTTGGTAGTTCTGTAGTTTGTTTAAAACGGGCTCCCCACTTGGCTCTTTAAAGAGTCAGCCTGATGCTGGGATTGTAACACCACGAAAGTCTGCAATCCCCACGGAGCAAAGTCTCTGCCTGCTCACGATTATGGCTTGGGCTGCTCAGCAGTGTCTGCTGATGTCGGTTGGCAGATAGTAAACGGGTCCCAGGTCAGGCTGGGTATTTTATACTGAACGTAAAGCCTGAAATGCACTAGCTGGCATGTTGGCAGCTGCACCTCTGGAGCAGCGGTGCTGACTGTCTAAGGCGAAGCCCCGGGAAATAGGAGCTGGAGCGCAAGGGGCTTTCTAGGGAGCCTGAGGTCAGAGAAGAGGTTCAAGAGTGCTAACAAATAGCCAAAGCCCAGGGCAAGAAATGGAGACTCCGTACCAAAGGCAGGGCTAAGCCGCAAAGGCCATCAGTCAAACCTGGCGGGTAAATGCTGTTAGAGCAGTGTATAGCGGCGTCCAGGTACAGCCCTAGTAAGAGGCAGTCTCTGCCCTGCGGAGCTTAGTCTAATTGCACAAGACAGCGTGCGGAGCAACAATCCCAGAGACTTGCTGACGGTCACACCGCAGAGCTGGGACTGGCACTAACAGCGCCCAGCCCAGGGCCCTGTCCACTGGGCCAGCTGCCTGTCGGTACTTGGTATAATGGCAATTGGCTTGTGACCCGAAAGCTGCAGGGCACTGAGCAGAATCCCACTGATGCATGCAAGCAC